TTGAGGCACGTCCGCCTGACTGCTACACAACAAGGCGACTGTGGCACACAGGCGCGCGTCCAGCTTGGAAAAAAACAAGCTTTCAGGATTAAGGCTTCCAAGCCTTGCTTTCTTATGGAAGTACATTAAATCAACATGAAAGAAACGGGCACAGGGGAGGCCCGCTCAAGCGAAGCCAGAATTGCTGGACTTTTCCAGCCCTACATTTGGAGTCGCGAAGCTTGCGATTTTCACCAACAGTGCAAAGCCTCTCGAACCGTCATTTGTGGGGTTTCGAGACAGAAACTGAAGCCTTCCAAAGCCTCCCTCGTGGGTTCGGAGCTTACAATCTTACCGTAGTCTCTGCACTCTTCTGGTCTTGTAGTTCCTGCAGCTTGCAGCTGTCCCTGCTATCTTGTGCTTCACGTTGGTAGATTTCTCGGCTTGCGCGTGTCATCCTTGCGCAGGGGCCATGCTAATCTTCTCTATCTCGTTCCTCCACCTTCGGAAAGCACACGGCAAACGAGAGTGCCTCAACTGCTGAAGCAGTGCGAGCTTCGCGAGAACATGCTTTGATTCATGCATGCTTTCACTGAAGAAGTGTTGACACCGTTTGGGACATGACCTGGACTACAATGCTAAAGGCAGCTCCATGCACAAAAACCGTGCATGGGTCCCGCCTCGCCGTTCATTTAAACTTTTAAAACCTAAACGGGGTGTGGGACCCGGCCCTAGAAAAATGGGACCCGGGTGGACCCAGGTGGGACCCGGATGGGACCCGGACCGGTGGGACCCGGTGGGACCCGGATTCGATCTGGCTAGCAAAGTATGGGACACGTGACAACCAGATGAAACTTCTTGTGTGGGAAACATGGGACCCGGTGACACCCGGATAAGACCCGGCGAGCAAAAAAACGGGATTCGGTGACGCAGAAGGTGGGACTTGGATGGGCCCGGTGGGACCCGGTTGGGACTCCTCGCAAAAAGCGGGACCTTGTGACCGCTCAGATGATGTGGCCTCAAAACCACACGTTGATGTGGCTTGAGAACGTTTGTGGCCCGGATGTATTAAAGGGGTCACCAGAAGCCTCGGACCTGAACGAACACGTGGGCTGCCTTTCTTCTTTCTTTACTACAGAGAATTCTAAGCCGGAGCTGGCTCCAAGTCCACTTGCTGGAGCTAGAAAAAGGCTTCAACAAGCTTCGATGATCTTGCAAGCTATTGGCTATTGCTGACTCCATAGAGCCATAGATCTTGGCAATCCTAGACAGGAGCTTCGATGATCGTGTCGCAGCGATGCATCCTAATAAACGTCAAAGATCTCGATTGGCTTAAAAAAATCCTCGAGATGCCTCGATGACATTGCAAACTGACACTGATCTCCAGTGGATATAGAAGCAGGATGAGCCCAAGAAATGATGCTGCGGACGACCCCGTTTCTGGGCCCACGAAACGAAAGCAATTCTGGCTTCGCCACAATGGGCCTCCCCAGTAGTGGGGGCACTTCGGCGGGGAGCTCCGATGCAGCGACGACGACGCGACGACGACGCATGCATGCACGCATGCGTGCTCGCAGGTTGCGCGGGTGGCTGCTGAGAACAGGTGGAGGATAGGTGGGGATAGGTGGGACGGGGGTGGATCCCACTCGCGGGACGCGGAGCGACGGTCAACCGCAGAGCGGAGACGAGACGGCAACGACGGCGCGACGGCGACGACGCGGCGACGACGACGTGGCAACGACGGCACGACGACGACGAGGAGACGACGACGACGCGACGTGTTCGAAGCAGGACTGGGTTGACAACCGGGTTGACACTTGGGTGGATTCTTCCCGGGTTAACATGTTCGGGACGGCAACTCGCAGAGCGAGACCACTGCGCGGCGTGACGACGACGTGACGACGAGACGACGACGCGACGACGACGAACGACGACGCGACGACGACGACGCGGCGGGCGACGAGCGGCGACGACGAGCGGCGACGACGAGCGGTGACGGCGACAAGCGGCGAGGACGAGCGGCTACCAGAAACCCTCTCCGCAGCAGAGGAGTGTTTCCAGATTTTGCCGGGCATGCCGGGATTCCGGTGTCTGCTGCGGAAACGGGGTGGCGCGGGGCCCCCAAAAAGACCATTGGGGGGATTTTGGCCCGGCTACGGCTGCGTGGCGTCGCGGGGCACAAAAAAGAGACCATGTATTTATACCTCATATAGCACAGGTTGGGAGGGCCAGTGGGGAGCTCGAATGGCATGTGCTGTAGTACTTGGACGTTTTTTTTTGCGGCAGGGGGATAGGTGCGGGACACGTGCAGATGGGTGGGAGATGGCACCGAAGGTTAATGGGGTTTGGGGTTCACCGGGAAGGCGACGACGACGGGCGACGACGACGCGACGACGACGAGCGGCGGCTACGAGCGACGACAACCAGCGGCGGCGACGACGACGCGACGACGACGCCGACGACGACTCCGAAGACGAGCGACGACGGCGCTCTCTCTTTTATGCCGTGGCCTCTAAACTGCTCCAGAGATCGTCGTGCTTGGAGCTGATTTATTTTCGAAAGGGTGTTGAGCGTACGGCTTCGGACCAAAAACGGAAGATCGACAGGGCTCAGGCCGTGAGACGCAAGATCATCGGCCCTTCAGCCCGAAAAAATTGGGACGAGCCGCGAACGAAGCGAAGCGGAACGAACATTGCGAGTGGAGCAAACGCGGAGCGGAGTGGACGAAGCGTGTCGAAGCAAGCGGAGTGCGCGGAGTGAGCGAGGCGAGTGGAGTGGACGGAGTGGAGTGCGGGCGGTCAGCGAGGTCTTCGCGTCGCTCACGAGCCTGGAGAGCCGCTTCTGCCGCCACATTTTCCAGGCCGCCTGGCCGCCGCTGGCGAAGTGCGATGCAGACAGGGTCTGCACGGCGTGGACCTTCATGCTCGAGACGGGGCTCGCTCCAAGGACCTCTACAACGCATGCGAACCGTTAAAAACCTACAAGGCGAACAGCCCTTCAGGTTTAAGGCAAACAAGTTCCAAGCACCCTTGCAAGCAAAGCAAGCTCACAAAACACTCGGACAGTTCACACTTTCAGCACGCACAGCTCACGCTGGTCTCACGTGTCTTGAGCCAAACGACAGTAGTCGTGGCACCTCTTAAAAGCTCCCAAGCACTACAAAACAAGGGAAAACAGGTTGAGGCTACCGCAAAACCGTCACGCAAGCTCAAACTACGTTCTACAGGCACTGACCACCTGAAACTAGCAAAACTGTACAACTATACAGGTACCGAGGAAAAACTCTGTGTCGCACCTAAAACACTACTGGGCAGAGCACTGGTTTTCTACACCCCCCCACGACGCAGTAGCTGTCGGAGGTACCAGGTGGAGTTCCCTTAAACAGTACTCGCACGCCACTTTAGTAGCGATGCGATTCGGAATCGCGTTCCTGAGGCCGTGGCAGTCCCTACGCACGTGGAAACAGTCTCCGTAAGCAGAAGTAAAGACAGCCATCTTCTGGCCCGACCTTGGCAGAAACGAAAGAAGGTCCTGCACAGTCTGGACGCGGGAGCTCTCGGTACGCAGTTTCTGCAAGCACACTCCAAGCGCAACACCCACAAGCAGTGGGACAAGCACAACAGTGAGAAGCCCTACACTCGGAACTTCGAGAAGCTTCTCTTGCACTTCCACAACCAGGCCAAACACCATGGCACGCTCGGCAGCGAAAGGAGCCAGAGACATCTTAAACGTCCTGGCAAAGAAAGAAAACACCGGAAAGTTTGAGCAAACGGGCTGCGCAGCAAACATGTAGCAACATGTCCTCGACAACGACAAGACTCTCGTAAAAAAATCAAGAGCGCAACGCTTCGAAGAAGGACTTTACAAGCTCTACCGGGTAGTGCTGTGTATTCTTGAGGTCGAAGTCCTTCGAGTGCTCATGCTTCCCAGAGCAACGATAGACATGAATGCTCTCAGCGACTGCTGGGTGTGTGGTAACAACACGCCATCGCTTGGCGATCAGAAGATGATCGCGGCCCCGCATATCAAGCGCACAACCATCAACTGGAACGTCGTGCAAAACGTAGGGGCGTGAGGAAAGAAAATGCTCAGTCTGGCGCCAAGACCAGTAAGCACAAGCACGCGGCCACTCAATGGCCCAAGCATGCACAAAGCTAGTAAGCTCGACCAAGCTTCTCCAGAGCTTCCGGTGAAGCCTCCAGTGCTGAGCCAACCGCCCTCGGCGATAAGCTGGATCACGGGCACGCAGCCTTTGATACGGGCAGCCTCCTGTGCACGGGGTACTAGCCCATAAGAAGACAAAACCCTTCTTCTTGATCTGCTCAGCAAAGATGGCTTTGAGCTCAAGCAAGGTCTGTGCACTGGCACCATCATCACGCTCACTCACAGTAAGCACATTCACCCAGTTTAAGTCCTGGCTAGCCGCTCTCATCGATGATTCAACGGGGGCACAGAACTCAATCACCAACCAAGAGGCATGCGGCATGGCGGCAAAACGGTCACGCAAGCTAACATGGTTCTTACCAACAAGCATTGCACCGCACAACGCAACAAAGCCATCAAGCACACAAGCAATAACGGCAACGTCACGCAAGCCAAGTCCCCACATGTGCTTCAAGGTAACAGTCCAACTCAGAGGTTTGGTGAACAAATCTGCAACATTGGCTTCACCGCGCACGCCAAAGATAAAAATCTGCTTTTGCCTGAGCTGGTCTTGGATAAAGCTTTTTCACTTTCCAACGCTGGGCTTCGAAAAGTCCTTGGCGAACCCGCTGATGAGCCACTGTGGGTCATCGCGAGAGGCGTCGCACTTTGTGCAACAGTTCACTAACGTGTGCCTAGTGCACACAACTACGAGCTACGGCGCAGTAGCACAACGACAAAACTACGAGGCTTCGCAGGGCCTCAGAGTTGGTGTCTGCAGTCACAGACGTGTGATGTGGCGGAAGCTCACATCACGAAGACTAGCAGACAGTCCCACAGAGGAGATGGCACAGCATATTTGCACATACAGTCAAATGTCACAGCTCACGCGTGAGGCATAGAATGTAGGCATTAGTGCTGATTTCATCAAGGTCTCTGGGTGTAGCAAGTTTGGCACTGCAGTTATCATCGGTGTAGAAAACCTTGCGGGCCGTATCCCCAAACAGAGCGGCACGATAGTGGCCGGATGACATTCGTGGGCCAATGTGCACCAGTGCAGATCGCAATCGGTACTTAGCAGCCCTTTTGGCACGCCCTGAGAAGTAAGAGACATTCACGAAAGGATCAAGCATAATGGGCTCAAGAATCTTATGAGCATCTGCATCGTCCACATTAAACCGAGCAAGCTGAAGGATCAGGCACTCCGGAAGTTGCAAGAGCGCATGCATCGGATCCTGAGTATGCCAAAGATCAAGCAGTTGCTGCACGGAAATATGGGACAGCAGAGGCGCGGTCACAAGAAGCGGGCAGGTGTCTCCCGTATCACGCACCTGATCGTGATTGTCACGTGCCTGCCACAATCCCTGTAATGCTGGTGCCTGCATGCGAGCCTGCAAGTGCTGCACGAACTCAGCCGCATCATGCTGAGTTCGAGGGTTCCTCCATGTAGCGAGGAGTTGTTGCCAGCTGAGCAGATCCCACAATGCAAATGGCCGTCGGCTAAGGATTCCAGCCTCAACAGCGGTGAACACATTCCTCGGAATCACTGTTTGGGAGCAGGTGCGGCTACACCAAAGCAGCGCTGAGAGAGTCGCGTTGGCGTAACAAAGATTGGCACCATTGGTGAGCCGCATTTTCAGCTGAAGTGCATCGTCTACCTTACTGCTTAACCGAAAGTTGGCACAGGGATCCCGAGCATGCGACAAAGTAGAGCTCTCTGATAAGGTCTGCGCTGGGACGGCAGCCACTTGAAGATCTGCTGAGCCAGAGGGGATCTTGTCAATCGTTCGGGTTTGATTGCCATGCCGATTACTTGGCAGCAAGCACTGCCGCAGAGTTCCGTCAACGATGCGTGCAGTTGGTCGCTTGGTGTGGAGCGGTTTGACACTGAAGCCAGGAATGTGATCGAGGGACCTTTGAGCTCCGCTGCAAGGGGCCGCGTCGGCGTGAACTTTGTGAGCAGCTGGGAATCCTTGGCCAAGCGGATCACCCCCTCGACCAGATTGATCGCCGCCTCCTTTGTCAGTGGCGTTTTGCTGGTGTCCGGAATCAACTTGGCTTGTTCGGAGTCCCAGCGAAGGTAGTTCCAGGTCCCGGCGCTGCTGATGTAGCCAAGCTGCTTCATGTTGTTCTGGATCTCCTCGGTCAAGCGGGCTGGCTGCAGGCGCTGAAGAAATTCTCGCCATACACACATCCATAGAGTGAGCCGCATCGGTGAAGTGGGCGGGTTGATTTCGCGGTCGGCCTTCCATTTCGTTGCCACCTCGAACAGAGCCTCGGGGACTCCGCATGGCAGGCCTGTACGCATCCATATGACAAAGCTGGTATCCAATTGCAGTGTTTTCAAGGCATCTTCGTGCCGTACCGCCAGCCGTATCATCAAGTGGCAGAGGGTGCGCAGCTCCGCTATCTCCTCGTCCTTGTTCGTGTTGTCGTGGCTGGCTGCATTGCTTTTGGCGCCTCCTTTTCCCCCTTTCTTTCCCTTTCCCTTTCCCTTGCCCTTTCCCGGCTTGGGGTCCGTCTTCTGAAATTTGCTCGGGGTCTCGGATTCGAGTGGTCTCTTGGTCGATGCTGGTGCTGATTGCAGAACCTGGCCCATGAACGCCGTGTACACTTCCCATTCTCGCTCCTCCTCTTGTTCGGCCGTCAGCTTCTTGTCCACGTCCATCGTCATGGCAATGAGGGGGGAGTAGTGCAGGATCCAAGCTAGCGAAGATGGATTGCCAAATGACAGTGCAACCTTCAGCATGCCTACATGGTGCACAGCGATATGTTTGCGAGCAGTACTGACACGGGTTTTGTACCGAAACAGCCTTAGCCTCCTTGACGGCTTGATTGAGGCGGTCAATAATGTCCGGGTGCTTGCAGCGCATGTGCACTTTGATCCGACTACCGTCATTCGCCCACAAATTGCACACCGGGCATTTATGCGCCATGCGGGCGTGAAGCTCAGCCTTGGAGGCAATGTACTGCCATCGTCTAAGGGTCGTGTGCGCCTCATCCCTCAGACAGGGCTCGTCCAGAAGCCTCGCAGCAAATGGCACAGGGTTAGTGTGTGCATTCGTGATGGCATCGGTATTGGGGTCCCCGCCGGCAGACAGCGCCGTGACGGGTTCAGCAGATGGAGCCTCTTCCCGGTCCGAAGACCCCAGCAGAAGAGGTGTGACGGCTTGTTGCCGCTTTGGCACACAACTATCAAATAGGATGTGCAAATTAAAATTTCTCCACCCATTAAACTCGCGAAGGCAGTATCTGCACGTTGGGACACCATCCAGGGAGTGTTCGACTTGATTCACAGCAGAGAGGGCCTGCTTGACATCACGATGTGCCTGTGTTCCATGCTCTCGGACACGGTGCCGCTGGAGCAGACCTGAGTTGGGAAAGATACATGGACAATCAGGGCAAGCGTATTGGCCGGCTACCATGCTGACCTCACGAAGGGAGGTTGAAGGTGCACTGCTGAGGTCGGGCATAGGAACCTCACCGTTGAGCATCGTCTGCGATCGATTTTGTCCGGTCTTGGACGCCTGAGAGAATGCTTGGGCCCCGCCGCGGGCGCCCCTGTTTGCAAAGTGGCTGCGACTAATAGCAGGCTGCGGCAGCCCTACCTGCGTCGAAGCAGCCTGAGGCGGCTGAGGTGCCACCGGCGTCCGAGCAAAGGATGCCTGAAGTATCACATGCCACTGCGCCACCCTGTCGATCTGGAGTGCCGGGTCCAGCGCCCGAAACCGTGCCAGATTGCCGGCGACCTCCTTGCCGAGTCGACCCTGGAAATCAAACTTTAAATCAGACAGAAAGGCCTCTGTGGGGACATGCGTGTCCTTCGACAGCTGGCTGCTGACAATACGAAGGTGTCGTGTCGCAATGCCCCGCACTTTGCATATTTCTTTGTCCTCAAGTTGCAAAGCAGTGAGCCCGTACTTAAGGCACGGCCAAACAATCGACAGCCACAAACGTTGCCGGGTGCGTCGGCTGAGGTTGTGTCTCGCAGTGAGTACCGGTCGAAGCCTGGAGAAGAGCTGGCCGGCTCGATGGTATCTATGCACAATGGTGTGGTGTTCCAGTGCACCGTAGCTGAGGATGATGCCAAGATAAGGATGTTTTCGGACAATCGGGAAGGCGCAGTCTGGCGCAACACGAAGTTTTGGGACACCTTTATCCTTGAAGCGCATTTTGCTCAGAAGTCGGTCGGCCTGGGTGCCGTGCAGCTGGTAGAGAATGACACTTTTGGTGTCGCTGACCTCCATTCCATGAAAGCGTAGAATCTGAACAAGCTTGTGCAGCTGGCCTAGGCAATCAGTGAGATCAGTGACCGTCCGAATCATCCATTGTGATATTAGATCGTCGGCATAAAAAGTGAGGATGCCTGCAGCATGTGAGCCCAGCCCCTCGAGTAACCGGCGATACACAAACCCCGAAGCAAGTGCCCAAAGGGCGGGTGATAAGGGGCAACCCTGCCGCACCCCCCGAGACGTAGCACACGTGGCCTTGAGACCGCAGTGCTCGATTTCGACAAGCAATTGAGAGTGAATCGCTAGGACTTGTTGCACAATGGGTTCGGGTATTTCAGCCTCACGCATGCTAGCAGCAATCACAGTTCTCGGAAGGGAATCGAAAGCACGGGCGACATCCAACGAGAACGTTATCCCACCCACACAGCCCGCCCGAGAAGTGGAGTCACGGCGGCGTTGAACCATTTTCTCACGTGTCGGTGCAGCCGCTCGGGCACTGTAGAAATGTGACACCACCCTATGCAATGCTTCAGTCGTTGATCTCCCCTGCACATAAGCAAATTGGGGAACAGTAGAAATGTAGTTCTGAAGGAAGGGGGTGATGAGCTGTGCCAACATGATTGCATGTACCTTGCTGGCCGGGTTCAACAAGCTTATCGGTCTGGTGTCCGAAGGCTGCTGTGACTTTTTGTTAGGTTTTGGCAACAAACAAAGCGCAATCTGTCTGATGGGCATGGGTAACGTGTTGGGAATGCTCGCAAAGGCAGCGTTGAGGCAATCACTCAGCAATGGGCCCACCTCCTTGGCCGCGAGTTTCCAAAGAACTCCTGGTGATGCCGAAGGATGCGCAGCTTTAAGGGCTGACAGGGAAGCCAGGGCTGAGGTGCACATGCCTGAGTCAAACAAGTGAGCGCTGCAGTCGAATACCTGCACAGGACCAGTCCTATCAGATGCAAACAGCTCCCGAAAGTACTTGAGAAGAGAGTCGCACTCGGCCTGTGGACCCTGAAGGTTCCCCTCTGAATCGCGAATTTGCAGTCGCACTCGAACCTTGCGCGGGGCAAGACGATTCACGATCCGGTAGACGGTGGACAGCTGCCCACACTGAACCGCCTGTTCCGCTTGGGCGGTTTGATCAAGAAGGAACGCCTTCTTGCGAGTACGTCTCTCAGTTGTGATGATGCGTTCAAGTGCCTGAATGCGGCGATCAAGCCTCCAGGCAGAGAAGGCCGCTCTCATACAGTACACAGGTGGGCCGTGGGCCAGGTTGGCCCGCTCGGCACGCAACTGCCACAATGCAGTCACAGCAGAGACATCGTTGACTCGTGGTAGTGCAGGCGCCGCCTCCGTTGAAGATGCGGTCGTTGCACTGCTTCGTGCCAGCTGGGGCTGACTGCTGAGCCACGCCTGAGTGAGACACCGATCGATTTGAGAGATGGTGGGGTTGCAAGGCATGGTTTGTCTGAGTTGCTCACAGAATGCATGCTGCCTGGCCGGGTCGTTCTTAGTTTCATCCCAAACTATCCTAGGCACAAGTCGGGTGCGTTTCGGGTGAGCGTGCTTCCAAGGGCACCACGTGAACGGAAATGAGCCCCGGACCGGAATGTGTCGGGAGCCCAGGCGGCTCGTGGCAACAGGCCAGTCATGGAATGGTCCACTGGCGAGGCTCGTGCCATCCGCATGCGCTCCACGAAGAATGATGTAATCTATCTGAGTCTGTGCATTTGTGGCAGGATTGACAAACGTAGCACCCGGAGCCTGTCCAAAAGTATTGGTCGCAACCAGCCCGAAGGAGCTCAACATGTGGAGCATCTCCTGACTATCTTGCTGTGGGGGCGCAGAGTAAGGAATACCACAGCCAACAACTCCTTTGCAGGCGGTAAACTGAGTGTTCAGGTCCCCTACCAGGCAGAGTAAATTACGGCGTGGGAGAGATCTGAGGGTGCTGCTCAGCTTATGCAGAAATTGAGAACGTCGGCGCATCGCATCCTGCCACCATGCAGTCTTGCTGTCCTGTTTACGGTGGTTCCATGCATATTGATAGGCGTGCAGCAGATCAATGGGCTGGTGTCCAGCGGTCGGTGTGATCCGTAGATGGTGCAGCCTACCTGGCACGATGGACCCGTGCCTAATGCAATCAGGTCCGGCAAGACGCTTTGAAATGCATGTCAGCAAGCCTGCCTCCTTGGAGGCACCGCTGCCGTGGTGCACAAAACACCAATCCCTGTCCTCCCACTGCATGTCCTCTCGCCAAAATGTTTCTTGAATGCAAAGAATGTCAAGGTGATCACGCTGCTTACTTAGCCAGGCCTTGACCTCGGCCCACACCAAAGTACTCAGGCCGCTGGCGTTCCACGTCATCAGCCGGCAGCGGCGCGATGACACATTGGAGGCTAAACTTTTAGGCCCATGTATTGCGCAATGCGCTGCTGCAGGGGAGATCCGTGCCGGCAAGCCGGACGTGGCGTCCACTCCCTTGTCCGTACGGCCGGGCTGTTGAGGGGCACGCTGTGCTTGCAGATGTTTGCCCTCAAAAATTGATCCACGATAAGGTGCAGAGCCAAAACGTTGTGCCGTAGCAACTGCTTTGCGCAGTGACCTCTTGCGATGAGGCGGTTTACGGGTATCCTGACCTTGCTTCGCCCATATTGGGCGCACTTGGGAGTCATGCGGTGTGGCTCCAGGATCGTCGGCCACCGATCCAACCCTCGCGTCTACAGGCATGTGTGTTGCGATATTCAAAGAGGCGTGCGGCCTGTCCCTGGACTTGGGACCAGGGCGGTACACATGACTATCAAGAGCAGTAGCATGGCGGGCATCATGAGGCACGAACTCAGGTGCATCGGGGTTGAGTCTCGCGCCTCTGGTCTGGGATCCCAAAGTCCCAGGCTCAAACACTGGAGCTCGCGGGTCGAGCTGTGATGTCGGTGTCAGCATGTCTGGCGTCATCTTGTAAAATCCAGAAAAATCTGCTCGAAAAACCTGCGCAAACACGAAAATCGCATGCAAAGTGAAAAGACAAATCATGCGACTGTGAAGCGGATCCAATCTCAACATGTCCTCGGGAGCAACAGGCAGGTGAAGTTGTACTTCAGCACTCGTTCAGCTTCTACAAGCAATGCCGGGAAGGTTCTGCTGGTGAAAAACAGTCAGTTGGAGGCCTTCCTCTCGAGGCAATGTCTGTAAAGCTTCGAAGAAGAACTCGCCTTCTGAGAATGGAGCCCACAGGCTAGTAGCCAAGCTTGCACGTAAATGCTGTCTTGCACGGCACAAGTCGAAAAACGTGTTTGCAAATGCTGTTCAGGCAATCGCACAGGTATGGCTCTACGCGCACCTGCAGGTGCGATCTGCCGCTACCCCGCCCCAGTCCCGCCCCTACGCCTCGCGAGGGTCGAACGAACTGGGAACAGCCGGGAAACCACACAAGGGAAGGGGAAAACCCGGGTGCCCTGAACAAAAACCCAGACCCAAGCGAGGGCCCACCGCTACAAGTTCACTTGAACCGAGACGCTTCTTGGATAAAGCACGCCCTAAGGTCAATGTGCCTCACCTTCCTCAGCCCATCAGCCTTGCTGATAGCAACTGCAGCCTCGCTGTCACAGAAAAGATGGGGCTTTGGCAGATCTGCCCATCCAAAGACATGCGAGATGGCGCGGCGGATAGAGAGAGCCTCTTTCGCGCCCTCCACAAGCCCATAGAGCTCGCTCTCGGCAGAACTCAAGGCAACAGCCTGTTGCAGACGACTCCAGGCCTTCAAACAGAAGCCTCCCAACATCACGCACCCTCCGCTGATGCTCTTCCTGTCAACGTTCTTCTCGCTACCCCAGGAAGCGTCCACATAGCAATCAAGGCGCAGGTTCTCTTCAGCAACCGGGTTCACTACCTGCTTAAAACCCTGAATATACTTCAAGTAACGCAACATAGCTCTCATAGCTCTCTCGTGCTTTTCGAGTGGATTCGCCTGGCCTCGGGCCAGCATGCTCACGTAGTAGACCACATCCACCCTTGTCATCGCAAGCCATGACAGCCTTCCCAGGGAACTGCGAAACCTCGCGGCAGCTTCAGAAGACAGGGATTTCTCCAAGCAAGGATCTTCTTTGTCGTACAACTCCTTTAGGTTGGGCGGCGTGCCACACGCGGTCACCTTGGAGTTCCCGAAGAAACCCTTGTAGATTTCCTCGTAGTAGGAATCGGATATGGTGACACACAGGGAGTCACTAGAATGCTCTCGGGCAATCTGTCTTCCAAGGAAGGTGATCTGACCGTCGCGGTCCAGATCGGCTGTGACCTTCACCTTCACAGCGGTCTTCAGCTGCTCCACCACATGGTAGATAGCTTCATCGCTGTCTCCTGTGATGAGAAGATCATCAACGTAGCAAAGAACAACCACACGCTGGCCTCCAAGCACAGAGCCTGAAAACAAACAAGCCTCAGTCTCACAGGGCTCCAGGTCACAGAGCTTCTTCAACAGCTTTGCCAGGTGACGCGACCAGGTCTGAGCTGCGACTCTTAGACCATATAGGGCCTTCTTAAGGCGCAAGTAGCCACGGCGGCCGTCCTTGCCCTTCACTCCGTCTGGCAGCCTGACCACAATGTGGCCATCTTCCTCGTCGAGGTCCGCGAAGAGAAACGCGGTGCTCACATCCAACCCGACGATGTTCCTTCTCTTGGAACCCGCGTAGAAAAGAAAAGTTCGCAGCGCTTCTGCAGAGCTTGTGGCAGCAGAGATGCCAAGCTGTGCCGCGGTCGCTCCCTGCGCAAAGTCACGAGCAACTACCCGACACCTGACAAGCGGATTCTCCTTCCCCTCAACACGCTCTACTTTGGCATTGGAGACCCACCTTGTAGAGATCACTTTCTGCTTCGGATCAACATGCCACACAACATCACCGACAGCAAGCGATTCAAGAGCACGAAGTTCACGCAACATGCCTTCATAGGTCAAGCCAATATCAAGCAGGTGCCCCGTCACATCATCCTTTGCAGAAGCTGGCACTTCGACAAGCAGCTTCTCCCCCCCAAGCTCGACAACCTGAGGAGTAACAACCTTGGTGGCGGCTCCCGCAAAACAAACCGACGCACCAGCAAAGGAGATGGACTCTCGGTACATCATACTGGACACCATGGCCTCCCGCTCTTCTTCAGGGAGTGCCTCAAGAGGTTCAGGATCAACTTGCATGAAATCAAGCTCGCCTGGGCTCGGGGCCTCGATCTGCTCGAGTTCTTCTCCAAGCTCTATTTCATTCTCAACTCCAGGCAGACTGGGCTCATACTCAGCCAAATCCTCATCCAATGGAAAATTCGGGAACGGATCAAGATCATCCGGCACATCAAGCCCAAGATCAACACCAAATCCAGCACCCAAATCATCACGCCCGGTCACTTCTTCTTCAATTGGGGCCTGATCGAGGATTGCCCGGCTGGGATCGAAAGAGTTTCTCACAAACTCAGCGTATCGATCACGGCACTTCTGGGTGTGCCAGGCCTTATCTGCTGGAAAACCGCGCAGCCGGCAAGCTCGGCACCTTGGGGTTCTCCCGTTTTCTTCAATCCACTCTGGTGGTGGTCCTCGGGTTGCGGTGTTCGGCAACGGGAGGTCGCGCACATTGTCACCACTGCTCTCGGGGAGCTTCTTCTGGGAATCATCCCTTCTTCCGGGCAACATGCGACAAACACCTTTCAAGCTCGACACCTCAAAAGTGAGAGGAACCAACATCCGGATTCTTGCGCTTCTCGCAATCTTCAAAGTGCCATCCCGCAGCCTAAACTGCACAGTGTGGCTTCCACTTCCGACCTCTGGTCCAAGGTAGGCGGCGTGGCCGTAACGGCCGGTGATTTTATCACGCAAAGAGGGAGGAGGAGTGGCAAGCACGGCAGCACCCCAAACATAGGCGGCATGCGGTCCACGGGTGGTCTTCAAGCACCGCTGTTCTGGGGACAGCGCTGATCCAGGATGCACCTGGTACCGGTTGTAGACCTGGGCAACGTGCATCAAAAGATACGTAACACCCTTCCCGCAGGGCTCCAAGCCGACCTGTTCCAACCCAGCACACAGTGTGTTTGCACCTTCCTTGATGGTCCTCACAGCACGCTCTGCAACAACAGCATGCCGACCAACAGGGGCATCCACAACCTCGATGGCACCAGCGGTCAAACCATCAGCAAAACTTTGCGCAAGGTTCTTCACAACACCCTCAATGTCCGACTTCACACTCACCGTCAACTCACTGGGAGCAACACCAACCAAGCCAACGCTACGACTCCATGCCGACATGTCACTCAACATGGCTTCCTTGGCTGCTGGGCCTCGGGATCCGCTCACCTCACGGTACGGAACTACACCGAGGGCAAAAGCACCAACCAAAACCAACACCAGGAAAGCGAGGCCCTTGTAGAAAAACTTATCTATCTGCACCTCTCTCATCCCTGAGTCCTGGGGCCGATCCTGGCTTCTGGCGGGTTCAAGCCCACGACCTTGCACGCACTGCGGGCAAGACGCATTGTACGGCACATGCGATCTAAGAACATGTTCTCGCTCTAGCTTACCCCAACTCTCCTGCAACAACAGTTCCCGATCCCCTCTAAGCAACCATGCTTCACTCTGGCTATCATGGGCCTCGCTCCGGTCACGCTGTGGTCGGTCCTGGCCAACATGCTCAAGCAACTCACCATGCTGCAAATCATGCTCACCCAAACCACCAACACATGCATGCTCACCAAGCTCAACGGCAACATCATGCTCACATGCAAACGCAACCTTTTCTTGCATCAGAAGCGAGAGTCCCAAGGAAGAAGGACCATCGGATATTCCTGGATGGTGGGCGTCCTCGGAAGATTGGCGGGCGTCCTTGGAGGATCCTTGTGCACCGCCATGGCTCACTCTATCTCGATGCTCTCGAGCTCCACCACCTCGCCCCGCGAGTTGTAGATCTTGCCGTCGTCCCCGATGTGCAGCTCCTCGGCTCTCCTCTCTGCTGGGGGCTCCTCGGCTCTCGTCTCGGCTGGGGTTTCCCTGGCCCTTGCATCCACCGGCACACTGGACACTGGTGACCATGGCGGCAGACTGGACACAGGTGACCACTCTGAGGGCGCAGAGGCCCCTCGTCCGGCTGACCTCGGGTCTCTCGGTGGCGTGGGAAGCCTCCTCCGCGGCGGTACCGGTGGTGGGGGATTGATCTCCATGCCTCCTTCCACCTTTATCTGTGGCACCTTTGCTGCACGCGCGGCCTCCACCTTGGCTCGCGCAGGTGGTGTTCTCGGTTGCGGTACCATTGGCGATCCTGGTGGTCCTGGGGGTTCCTTGATGACTTCGGAAATCGTCACCTCCACGAAAGGAATCTCCAGGCCCTTGATTTGCGCATAGTGGTCCTTGACATGTTTTTCCAATGTCCTCCGCACCGGAGGGCCCTTCTGCTCCTCGGCCTTCTTCTTCATGGCGTTGTTGATGGCCTTCATGAGGTAGCCCTGCTTCTTCTTTTCCTTGGCTCGCTGCGAAAGCATTCTCAGCGCAGTCTCCGTCTGCCCGGGGATCCCGCGCTGGGCCCGGCTCTTCAAGACGATCTTTCGGACCTTGGCTGGCATTGCCTTCACCACGGGCGGCTTGGGCTGCCTCTTCACCAGTGGCTGCGGTGGGTCCTTTGACCCCGAAGACGGCTCCGCCTTTGCTCTGGCCACACTGCCCTTGGGCTTCTTGACCTCTGGGACCTCGATCGTTTCGGCGACCCTCTTCTTGGCCTCTGTGGCTGCCTTCTTCTCTGCCTCCACGGCCTCTGTGGCTGCCTTCTTCTCTGCCTCCGTGGCCTCTGTGGCTGCTTTCTTCTCTGTCTCCGCGGCCTCTGTGGCTGCCTTCTTCTTTGCCTCCGCAGCCTCTGTGGCTGCTTTCTTCTTTGCCTCGGCTTTGGCGGCTCTCTTCTTCTTTGCTTCCTCTGCTTCCTTGGCCCACTGGGCGCTCTCCTGGCGCTCCTTCACGAATTTCTCCGCCGCTGCTTTCGCAGCTGCCTTTGCCTGCTCTGCCGTCTTCTTCTTCACTTCCGCGGCTGGCACCAACAGCAGGTTCTGGCCCGGCGTAAGACCCACCATCGAGGTTGCCGTAAAGGCGATCGTGGATCCCTCGAAATCCTCGTGAGTCCTCGTAACAGTCGCCGCGTGCTGCTCCGCCAGGTGGCGGCGACCCGAAAGGCGCCACTCCTGCTCCGAGTCGGAGGAGGACTCCTCGGGTGCCCGGTTGCTCCTCCTCATCCTTCTTAGAAGGCTTTCCCGACGAAGGAGCGCAGCCGTCACTACGCTTCAAGCTCGCTCGGGCGGCAACTGCAACGGAACGGTCAAGCTCAACAGCACTCGAGAAAACCCATCCGCAATTGGAGACCCATCTCGTGCGAAGAACGTACCCAGCGGCCTCAACTTTAAAACTTGGCAGGAAATCCACAACCCAGCTCTTGCCCAGCAAACGCCCTAAGGACAGCAGGTTAAACTTCACAGGAGCAACAAGCACTTGGAGTTCTGTTACCACCGTCTCGCCCGAAACCAAAACGAATGGAACCCTGACAACCGCAGACCTCCGAACTCCAATGCTGTCACCCGTTGCAGAAACACACTCACTGGCAGACTCACTGTGGCTCACAACGTGCACCCGGCTCAAAGTGTCCTCGTTGATGATGTGGGCCGACGCGCCGGAGTCAACGAGCCACCAATCCATGGTGTCATGCTGCTGGCTGGCTGCTGCTGTCTCGTGCGCTACCATGCCATGGTCAGCTCTACCTACCACATGCAACATGTCATGCTCAACGACATTTTGAAAATCTGCAACAAAACGACCTGCTTCCAAGCTCAACTCTGGGGACTCTGCAAGCTCGACTGTGGTTCTGTCTGGGACCTGGTGGGACTCTGCAAGCTCGACTGTGGTTCTGTTTGGGACACCGCGGGACTCTGCAAGCTCAACTGTGGCTCTGTTTGGGTTGTCACAAGGAAAATTCTCAAGCGCAACATGCAACATGGAACCCTCAGGCGCAACAGGCTCACCGCCTTCAAGCACAACAGGCTCCGACCAAGCACACTCATAAGATGCAACGAACTCCTCCCAATCCTCCTGGGAAAAATCCGAGCAATCATCCTCATCAAGCTCAACAACCGGACAACTCAGATCAACCGCAGCTGCGAAAATCTGAGGCTCCAAAGAGGCAGCCGCGACCTGCGGCTCAAGCAAAGCAGCTGCTGATGCTCTTTCCCTCTTGGGCTTGGGACACTTATTCGAGTAGTGCCCGAACTGGTCACAGTTGTAACACTTGACGTTCTTCAAGCGCTCTGCTTTCTCCTTCTCCTTCTCCTTGTCGTTTCCAGAACCTTGCTTGCCGTCCTTTGCGGCTGCAGTCTTCCCCTTGTCCTTGCCTTTGTCCTTTCCACCTTTCCCTTTTTCTTCCTTTCCTTTCTCATTCCCTTTCTTGTTGTCCTTTCCTTTGTCCTTTCCTTTTCCTTTTTCTTCCTTTCCTTTGTCACCCTTCTTGCCCTTTCCCTTGTCTCCGAAGGTCAAAGCATTCGCGTGATCCTTTGCTGCTCCCTTTCCTTCCTTCTCTTGGAAATTCAGGATCTTAAGGTTGGCATCATAAAACTTCAAAGCAGTCTCAAGCTGGTCCATGGAGTCAACCCTAGCATGCAAAAGAACATACTTCTTCACTTCAACATCAAGGTTTCTCAAAACAATCATGCAACGGTCTGCCTCACTCAACGCAAGATCTGGGAACCCTGCGGTCAAGCGGGTAAACTTGGCAAGCTCCAACTGGATGTTTCGAAACATGTCAAGTGGACGATTGGCAGGAGTGCTCGCGCGGTACTGCAGGGCCTCATTCCGAAGCGTCGAAGCCTCGATGCGGCTCGCAACAGACAACTCCTGATGCAACCTCCTCATGCACTCGTACCCAGCTGGGGAGCCAAGCTGCTCCTTCTCTACTTGCTTAACCAAGTCAAGCCCACGAGCAAACCCTTGCAACGCTTGCTTCAGGTACAAGAAGGTCCTAGTTGAACGCACGCTCTGTCCCTTTTCAAGCGATGACTGCTTGATGGTGACCTCAGAAGCAATCGATCGATGAAGCTCTTCCGGGATCCTATCATCAAAGAGAGCAATCCACGGCAGGAATTGCTCTAGGAACTCAGCCCATCCTTCGATCTCCGAGCGACGGCCTTTGCTCATCTTTCCACCATCAATCGCAGGCAGCTTAGGAACATAAGCTTCAGCTTTGGGATTCCTGATGGGAGCACCTCCCTCATCAACCTCCATTTTCCCCGACGAATCGGAGATGGAGCTAAGCTCTCCACCGTGGCCCTTGCCTCTCGCAGTAGGTGGCACAGGCACTTCCCTGCTCACAAGAGCCTGAACTAGAGACGTAAGCTGGGCAACTTGCTGCTGCTGCTGCTGCACCGTCTGGTACAGAAACGTCTCCACGGTGGGCGGTGATGGTGCATTCACTGGCGAAACTCCACCAAACTCTGGCAAACCTGGTGGGGGTGGCAACACACCTCCAAGAGGGTTTGGCGAGCCAGCTGGGCTTCCCACCACCGGGCTTCCGGTTGGATGCATACCCCGTTCCAGAGCCGACAAGTTCGACACCGGACTAAAAGCAGCACCCCGAGGCACACTGCTTGCTCTCGGCCTCTGGTAAGGCGGCGCAGCGTCTGACCTACTATTCCTTCGGATCATACCAGGCTCACCTGGCACATCACCGATGTTGAAGTAGCTTGGCCTGCCACGGCCTTCCATTTCTCACAAGCACAACCAAGCAAGCAACACGCCTCAAGTCAACGTATTGGGCTCTTTCTTTTGGTTGCAAGGCAACGAGCGTTCACCACGCTCCGCTACCACGTTAAAAACCTACAAGGCGAACAGCCCTTCAGGTTTAAGGCAAACAAGTTCCAAGCACCCTTGCAAGCAAAGCAAGCTCACAAAACACTCGGACAGTTCACACTTTCAGCACGCACAGCTCACTGCTGGTCTCACGTGTCTTGAGCCAAACGACAGTAGTCGTGGCACCTCTTAAAAGCTCCCAAGCACTACAAAACAACGGAAAACAGGTTGAGGCTACCGCAAAACCGTCACGCAAGCTCAAACTACGTTCTACAGGCATTGACCACCTGAAACTAGCAAAACTGTACAACTATACAGGTACCGAGGAAAAACTCTGTGTCGCACCTAAAACACTACTGGGCAGAGCACTGGTTTTCTACACGAACCGCGAGGCGCTGGCACCGGGACTGCACGCCGAAGTATCGCTTCGAGGAGGTCAAGTGCCTCCATGGCATTTACAGCGAGCCGCGACTGAAGGAGCCGCCAACGGAGCAGGAGCCCTGGCACACTGTTGACGGGAAGACCTGCTGCTCTCCGGCATGCCCGGCACGGGCAAGACCTACGTGGCGAGGCAGATCGTCTGGGCGAGGGGGTCACGCATCTCCAAGACCCACTGCTCCGTGCAGAATCTGGGGATGGGAGCGCAGACGGCGCACCTTTCGGGCGGGCCGCTGCTCCCTGGCTTGGCTCGTCGTGGAGGAGGTCACGCAGCTGGACGTCGGGTGGTGGGCTGACCCGAGCTCTGAAGGAGTCCCAGCTGCTGCACGACCTGGCCTGGCCGGAGGCCACGACGACAAAATCTTTTCCTTGTGGAGTGGCTGCGGACCAGGTGGAGCTGCGGGACGGCATGCAGAGGGCCGGGAACAGTCCCCCGACGAGGCCACCCGGAAACGAGAGAGAAAACCGGTGGCTGGCGCCGTCGGATGCCGTGCTGCTGGGGCACCGCGGGTCGGGGCGGCGGGGACCAACCAGCCGCAGACCATGCGCTGGCCGGGGCTACCGGCGCGAAAGTGGCCAAGGGCCTCTTCGTCGAGGTCCGGGAGGTCGGGGAGCGGTTCGTGCTGGACGACGGGGCGTCGCGGGCCACGAGCGCGGAGCTGCTCTCCGTGTGCTGATTCTGGGCTCTTCGCCCATCCCGGTCATTGACCGGGATGCTCCGGAGCTGCAAAAAAAAGGGCAGCATTCCGTTCCCCGACAGCCCCCCGCGAGGGAGGCTGAAAGGGTATCCGGCCCAGGCACAGAGGCTTGGCGGGGGTGGCGAGGCTTCGGAGGCGCCCCATTCCCTGGACGCCTCCCCGGTGCCTCACGGACCGGCGCGAGCTTCATCGGTGGCTGGCGGCTACTGATCACCCACCAATTGAGCCTTGAACAGTCAGGCACCACCTCCACTCGCTGGGACCGCCGTGCCACAACCTAGAGCCTCTCCCCAAGGGTGGATCATCGGCCCTAGGCCCCGGCTCAGCGTGCCCCACTAGGATAGGAGTAGAGTAGACGGCGGCGGCGGGTGCGCGGCGGGACGGCGGGTGCGACGGCGCGAGGTGCCAGACAGGTGCCAGACAGGTGCCAGACACAAGTTTACCTTGAAATAGCCCTCCGGCCCTGAAACTTGCTATAGCACCGCCAAAGGAGTTGAGTTTTCTTTCGCGACTGAAAGGATGGGGAATGCTCATCAAAATTCCAGAATGATCCGCCCTGGGACGGGACTAGCCCGCGCGGAAGCGCGCGAAGACGCGTGAAGCGCGCGCGCGAAGCGCGCGAAGCCGCACGGCGAAGCCGCGCGAAGCGCGCGAAGCCCGCGCGAAGCGCGCGATGCCGGGCGCCGCGCACATGCACGAAGCCTCGCGAGCAGCCTGCGCGAAGCGCGCAAAGCCGCGCGAAGCCACGCGAAGCGCGCAAAGCCATGCGAAGCAGCCCGCGCGAAGCCGCGCGCGCAGGTGTGCGCACGCAGAGTGCGCGCAGGTGCACGCACGAAGCCATGCGAAGCAGCCCGCGCGCGAAGCTGCGTGAAGCCGTGCACGAAACATACCCAGATGATCAGATGCGCGCGCGAAGCATGCGCCAAGTCACGCGAAGCAGCTCTCGTGAAGCCGCGCGAAGCCGGCGCGAGCCGCGCAAAGCACGTGCGAAGCCACGCCAGCAGCCTGCATTCGCTTCGCTTCGCGCGAAGCCGCATGTGTATGTGCATGTGTGTCTCTGGTGATTTATATATGTATGTATTTATTAGTATGTATGAAATCCCCTCATCCGTTTAATAAAACGACGATCCATCGCTGGCCGCGAAGGTGCAAAACAAAACAAGCGAGCTCTGGATCTGCCTGCACAGGGAGTGAAGCTGACACGTGGGAGAGAGAGAAAGTGATCGAGTCTGTATATAGAGGGCAACCACATCATTACCCAACATAGCTCGGTGTGGTAGGCTCGAGCAGCAGGACGGCCCCAGCCCGGGGAAGCCCCCGCCCGGAAATCCGGGCGTAGCGAGCCACAGCGCTCCGCGCAAACTTGACATGCGCCTACATCACACACTGTCACAGCCCTAGGGGTATCACAGCTTCACGCCCTAGCGGCATTTGCCTTTAGGGCGCGTAGCGCTTAGCGCAAACACTTTTCTTTAGCGGCGCTCTGCGCTGAGCGTTTTATTACTTTACATTACAGCCCAAGGGGTTACGCAGCTTTATTTGCCCTTATAGGGCTTCACAGTTTTGACTTTACTTAAGTTAGGTGGAACTTACGTTAGCCATGGCAACGGCGCCAGCGCCCGCGGACGCCATGGCCACCCCATCGCCCACTGACTCACCAGCTCCTCCTGGTATTTCGCAACAGACGGCGGCACCAGAACCTACAGAAGCTCTTAAGTCTCCTAATCTAATCCAAGAGCACCTTTTAGGCCCAGGTCTCTCCCTTAAGGAGTTTGAGAATGAAGTGTATATGCTCTGTTCCCCAGCAGATCAGCAACTTATCACAAAGCCCATGTATGACAGCCTCCTTATTGCCCACCAGCAGAAACAGGCCTCACAGATTTCTATGGCTTCATCTATAACAGGGCTTAGAACCCCTCCTTCCCTTGCCAAAACAGAAGAAGACGAACCTCCTTCTTGGGGAGATATGGACCCGCAATTAGTGCGGGAACTCCAATCAGATCCTTCTAAGTATCAGCTATTCATGGCCACACGGCGACCTAGGAAAGAGGCTCGACTGGACCCAACCTTAGGACAGTTCTCCATGCCAACTGATGTACCTCCCCCCCCGGCAGCCACAAGCTCCACTCAAGCTCCCGAAATCAATAAGGACAACATTAAGGAAGCCTTTTTGGAATATCACGCCACTTTTGTCTCCCCAGCAATTGCTCAGCTACAGGATCATGTGGTCAGCATTCCCCCAAATTAGATCCCTAGAAAAGAAGAACACTCTACTCAAAACCAGTTTGTCATCAGTAGAATCCGAGATGCACAAAAGGACCATCTTGATACACCAGGTTCCTCCCTTCTGCAACAAGAAAACAATTGACGATAACATGTGGTATCTCCTTAACATAGCGCAGCTAGACAAAACAGATGTGCAGTCGATCTCCAATCACCTCCTTACTAGTTCTACTAGCTTTATCAGAGTTGTATTCCTCACAGAAGATATGGCTAAACAGTTTTTTCAATCCTTTAGACAATCTAAGCGCTACTTTCGCAACCGCGACCCGAAGAGTTATTCTCATCCTCCTGACACCCCGATAAAAGTTGAACGCGACGTCTCCTTAACTGAGCGGCTGGAGCGCCAACCATTATATGCACTCACTGATGCTCTAACGAAGGCTGTGACGGCAGATGGTGCTCCTTTGATCGATCACTTAAGAATAGATTACAATTCACTTCAGTTATTTCGGCCCGATTCAGAAGAACTAGTTGCGATGGTCTGTTACATCCCCTCCGGGGACACTCAGGTTTGTAACATAGCCATTCAGCCCCAACATAGGACTCATGTTTTGGATGTTTTCCCACGCATGTTTCAGGAAAGAATGTGCTCTACATTACGCTTCCTACAAGCATACCAAACTGCAGCAAGACATAGCACCACCCCACTCCGATTTCACTATTCACAGACCCAAGACCTCTCCAATGTCTCTCCTCAACAAGCAGTACAGTACTTTCCGTACGAGATATACCCACTTGAGTTAACAGCCGAACTCCTTAGGACACTGTCCCAGAACCCTGCTCACTTACTTTCCAGTATGAGCGGTATTCAACCTATTGTACATCAGGCCATGCAAGACCAAGGTCTAGATTACTCTTCGTACGGTAAGACAGGTAGAGGCAAATCCTCCGACAAAGGTGGTGGCAAAGGTAAGCACAACAAGGGTAAAGGAAAGCAACAGGATAAAGGCACAAAAGGTAAATATTCCCAACAATCCTCCTGGCGCAACACCTCCGATTACCAAAGCAATAGACAATGGCGCTCTGAACCCCAGGATGCAGTTGACCCGTGGACGACTACTCAAGACCCTTGGCAACAACAGCCCCGCAGTGGGTTGGACTACTCCAGCGGCTCGGCAATTCTAACTCCTTGTCCGGGATGTATGTGTCTCCTTGGGACGAATTCGGATTGTTCACACTGTGCAGGAGCCGACGGTCTCAATCATCTACAGAGGCTAACAGACTCGAATAGATACTCGCATTTAGTTCCGTTTGCGCAACCTATCACGAAAGGTTTTGAATGTCCTCTTACAGTAGGCCAAAAAACCCGAGAATGTCAAGCAGGTAAAACCATCTTTGGAATCGGAGACTGTGCAGGATGTATTGCATGGACTCAATGGGCTGCTAGATACTACGGACCCAAACCTATTGAAGCTCTTAATCCTGTAAAGCACGCTCTGTACTTAGGCTATGAACGTACCATGCTCCATGCAATGGTAGAACATCCGGATTACTTTA